AAGGAAAGCCCTATTATTGTGTCCTCATTGTTTCTCCAAGGTCTCGACTTGATATGTTAAAGTCTGGTTGTCTCCCCAAAGTTATTGGCTTCGTCTTCATCTTGAAACATTTCCTCCAACGAGTTAACTGTCCATGTTCAGATGCTCTGGGATGTCGTCCACATTAGATGTGTTGAAGCAGGAAACATTGGGAACTTTATTCACTTTCTGGAAAGAAACAAACATAACCTTACCCTCATGTTACAAAAACATCAGGCCCTTTCCACTGATTAGTTTTTAGATCTTTTCATTTACCATGCACTTTAGGTTGCATCTCCTTTAGGGAAAAATGCTTTTAGGCAGCAGCAAAAGTATTATCCTTTAAAGTGAAAACAACTAAAGATAGCATTGCAAAATGTAGCATAGTATTAGGTGCATGTATATAACATCTTTTTATTTTTAAAATCTGTAATTTAAATATTTCTTGGTGTCATTCCACAATAGCTTGATCCTGTGGATTATAGGGGGTTTCAGTAACATAATTAATATCTTACAAACTATAAAATATTTTAAAGCATTTTTTAGTAAATCAGGATCATTGTCAATTGGTGTGGGACAATGGTCTGTAGTCTATAAATTATATTTTAAATAATTGCTGATTGGCCAGTAGCCAGGCAGGAAGTATAGGTGGGACAACCAGACAGGAAGTAGAGATGGATCAAGGAGAACAGAAGAATTCTGGGAAGAGGAAAGCTTGGTATGCTGTCATGATCTGGTCACAAAGCAGCAAGATATGACTGCCTTGCCAAATAGGATACTGAGCCAGGTGGCTAACATAGACAAGAATAGTGGGGTTAATATATGTTATAAGAGTTAATAAGAACCCCGAATTAATGCTCCAATCGGTTTATAACTAATATAAATCTCTGTGTGATTTTTTTGGGACCTAATGACTGTAGGTACTGAGAAGGACAGAAACCCTGTCAACAGTCAATATTTAGTTGTAATTGGAATCCAAAAAAAAAAAAGTTTAAAATTTGACAAAGTCTAGTTTCACATGAGACACTATGGTATTTTTCTAGAGCTCCCAGGGCCCCATGCCATGTCTGGGGCAGTGTTCTGCAGCTGACTAACTGGGAAGTGGCACTGTGCATGCCTGTAGTACACTCCAAGCATGGGTCTCTACACACGTTAATAGTAGAGAAGTCACAAGACACAGACAGCCCTAGGTATAGATACGATGTTGATGTGAAAACCACTCACTAATTATGCACTAGAAGCTTCGAATACTGTATGAAATAGCCTTCAATACAGCATAGGCGCTCATGAATCTCCTCCAACTTTCTCTCTTGTCAGATTCTGATTGTTCATGTCAGACCAAAGGAAAGCACAAAACTAAAACAACAAATAAACCTACTTAATTAACAATGGAAACTAATTTCTAAAGGTTTAAGTTTAAGGCTTTAAATAATACTTAGGATTTTTGAATTTTAGAACAATTTTAATTTTGAGTTCAAGAAGACTCTCCTACTAAATAACAGAGTTTGAAGTCAGGAATAGTAATGCCTCCAGAAGTTCCTTTATTGTATAAAATTGTTTTGGCTATCCTGGGTTTTTTGTTTTTCCATATAAAGTTGATTATTGTCCTCTCAAGATCTGTGAAGAATTTTTTTTTTTTTTGAGACAGGGTTTCTCTGTAGCTTTGGTGCCTGTCCCAGAACTAGCTCTTGTAGACCAGGCTGGCCTTGAACTCCCAGAGATCTGCCTGCCTCTGCCTCCAGAGTGCTGGGATTAAAGGCGTGTGCCACCACTGCCCGGCTCTGTGAAGAATTTTGATGGGACCTTGATGGGGATTGCATTTAATCTATAAATTGCCTTTGGTAGAATTGCCATTTTTATTATGTTGATCCTCCCAATCCAAGAGCAAGGGAGATCCTTCCATTTTCTGGTATCCTCTTCAATTACTTTCTTCAAAGACTTAAAATTCTTGGCAAATAGATCTTTCACTTCCTTGGTTAGAGTTACCCCAAGATATTTTATGCTGTTTGTGGCTATCTTGAAAGGTGATGCTTCTCTGATTGCTCTCTCTGCTTCCTTATCCTTTGTGTATAGGAGGGCAACTGATTTTTTTGGAGTTGATCTTGTATCCTGCCACATTACTAACGGTGTTTATCAGCTGTAGGAGTTCTTTGGTAGAGTTTTTGGGGTCGCTTATGTACACTATCATGCCAGCTGGACTGGGACTGAAAAAGCATGGGATAAAACTGGACTCTCTGAACATGGCAGACAATAAGGGCTGATGAGAAGCCAAGGACAATGGCATTGGGTTTTGATCCTACTTCATGTTCTGGCTTTGTGGGATCCTAACCAGTTTGGATGCTCACCTTCCTAGACCTGGATAGAGCGGGGAGGACCTTGGACTTTCCACAGGGCAGGGAACCCTGACTGCTCTTTGGACTGGAGAGGGAGGGGAAGAGAAGAGTGGGAGGAGAGGGAGGGAAATGGGAGGCTTGAAGGAGGCAGAAATTTTTTTCAATTAAACAAAAAAAAAAAAAAAAGAAGAAGACTCTCCTACCAGGTAAAAGGATATTTAGAAGTACATGAGAAATAACCACAGAAAAAATTTTTACCTACTTATGAATTACAAAAATAGGGAGAATTTCAAAGACTGGCTGTAGGTTCTATATGTCCTAGTTACAAATGTTCCTGTACTAGATGTTAGGACTCTTTTAACTTTTCTCCATGAAAGGGCTGTTGATCAACCTATACTGTGTTATTCCTGCTGTGTGGGAAAACAAAAAGCTAAGCATTGAGACAGCTGAGCCTTGGAGCACAGGTGGGGCTTATGGAGCCTCGCCTGCACCTCCATGGGACTCAGGGTTCTTTACAGACCTCATCTGTCTGAACCTGAGCATTGGAAAGGATGCCCAGTCAGGACTTGCCAAAATATGTCCTACAGAGAATTCTCTCTGTCAAAATGATCTTCCTGGGAGGGTCAGAGCATAAATTACTGTGCTCCATCTTGCAAATTAATTGACAGGAATTTTATCTCACCTTTCATGGGCTCTCTTTACATTAGCTCCTATGTGCTTCAATTAACAAGATCTATAGCTGCTTATTTAGGAAATCAAGGATTGAATTTTACAAAGTTGCAGAAATGTTGTTTTGCTTATTTTGCTCTTCTGGATCTTAACAAACTTCAATAATTGTTTAAAATGCTTTTTCTCAAGGGTCTGAGAAGAAACCATTTTACTCTCTCATTTGTGACTGCAAACCCTTGGGGGAGAGAACCAAACTCCCACTCCCTGCTTCTATGTAAGAAAAAAATTCTTAACTCTTCTGAGGGTTGAGTTCCTCACTTTGCACATCAGTTTTTGGGGAGGGATCTCTAACATCATGGCAAGTAGAGTGATGATCTGGGTGAGAAAAGAAGGTAGTTTGACTCAACAAGACTCAGTAGTGGGTATTGTTTGAAACTTCAAGAGTCTAAGACCAGAGTTTATTTCAGGCGTGTGTAAGGAAAGCACAATTTAAAAAAAGTTTCCCAGTGATAATCAACTCAATTGCATGTGCACACTGAGCTAAAGTTAAAGACACAATTGCATCAAAATTCTTGTAAAGTAAAAATGACATCTTTCATAAAGATAGTTTCTATATATTAATTAATGAAGTAGGTTCAAAGTAAACAAAGCTCAATGTAAGGCTTAGGAAAGACAACACTTTAAACTGACTGAGACAAATAGACTCAAGATAAGGATCTTGGGGCAGCTGCTGTAAGTGGGCACAGAGGTCACCAGGTTAATTGAGTTAATCAACTCAGTTTCCAAACTTTTAGGCAGAAAACAGATAATACTTTTGAAGAGACAAGACTGTGTGTTTAACATTGCTGGTTTTCCTAGTGCTCTTGACTGCTAAGTCAACTCTCCAGCCCCATGTGCATCCACTTTTACTGAAATATTTTAGGACTACATGTTATTGACAAGTCACAAAAATCTATTATTGAAGCTTTTCTTCTTGGGTTACCAGTTCTATACTCTCATCCTTGTCCATATAGAAAATATGTTTTTGTAATAAAGACATGGCTTTTAGCTTTAGACATGAGCTAGATGCTTCAAATATTTAACTTTCATGAGCACAGTTTATAAATGTTGCTAGTCTGGTTCTTAGTGGCATTTACATGGTTTTAAAAAAAACTATTAAAGGGGCTGGAGAGATGGCTTGGGGCTGGAGAAATGGGTGAGAGGTTAAGAGCACTGACTGCTCTTCTAGAGGTTCTGAGTTCAATTCCCAGCAACCACATGGTGGCTCATATCCATCTGTAGTGAGATCTAGTGCCCTCTTCCGGGCAGCAAGCATACAGACAGACAGAACACTGTATACATAATAAATAAATAAATCTTTTTTTTTAAAAAAAAACTATTAAAATTTAAATGAATGTGTGTTTAATTTACCCACTAAATTTTCAGTTCAATATGTCAGAGATCAAATTTTAAAAACTCATACATCTCTTGAAAAGAATGCAAGTAAACAAAGGATTTGAAGAATGTGTGAATTTAATAACTGCCTTCCCAACAGTACCACAAAGCTTTATTATAATTGTTCAGTAAGAGTTGGGACAGGGGGGCTGGAGAGATGGCTTAGTGGTTAAGAGCTTTGCCTGCTCTTCCAAAGGTCCTGAGTTCAATTCCCAGCAACCACATGTGTTCACAACCATCTGTAATGAGACTTGGTGCCCTTGTCTGGCCTGCAGGGATGCATGCAGGCAGAACACTGAATACGTAATAAATCAATCTTTATTTAAAAAAAAAAGAGTTGGGACAGACATTAATGCATGAGGCACCAACACTTATAGAAGGGAAAACACAGTAGTCCCAAGAAGGAGGCTATTGTATATCAGCCTTTCTTTGGGATTTTCTTATAGTTACTAAGACAGAGGGATCAGAAAGGTTACCTTCTAGACATCTGAGCATAAGCCACATGAACTAGATCTTCTGAGTTGCCACCATTCCAAGGATATTTACCTTCCAATCTGAAGTAAATAAACGAAACGAGCTTGAAAATGAACACTATCATCACACACAGGATGACACTGATATCTTCTGACCACAAAGTGTCCAATTCAAAGTGTGGATCTGAAACTTGAACTGGGAAAAGAGAAAAGGATCAGGACAGTTGCAACCAAGAGGAAGGCTAGATCACACATTAAAGGCAGCTTTGTTTTTGGGTTCCTGTTGCTCCATGTGCTTCATATATGTGCAAGAACAATACAGGAGAAATTTGACATACTTGATTTTGGAGATGAACATGTTTTTGTTAATCCTGGAAGAGATTATGAGGAGACAGGCACCCATTTTCCTCAAGCACGTGACTTTTGTCCTTACAAGTCTGTCTGAAGAGCATATAAATTGATTAGGTTTCTATCTGTTTTATTTAGGGCTCAATATCCTCAAGAGTTCTGGCCTATATAGAGTATAATGAAACAGAAAATCCTCAGATGATCAGGATCTGTGAAATGGAAGAGATCTCACAATTCTCAAGTATCACATCCCCTAGGAAGCATTCTCTCTCCATCCTCATCTTTCGCTCTGTCTTCACATTTCAGCTGCTATAATCTTCCCTGACGCCCATCTGTACCATTTTCTGTCCCACCAGGAAATCTTCTCAAGACCCACTCATTGACAGTCTAGATCTGTGTGAAGAGGGAAGTTTGCCTTCTCCCCATCCACCCACAGATACACCCTCCAATATAGGGCATAGAGATTCATCTATTGCATCCTTCTGAAATACTTCAAGTGAGGAAAATTTCCCTGTCCCTCCTCAGGTTTGTGGCTAGTTCTGAAAGAAAACTGAAAGAGACAGATTTATAGTAGAAAAGTATACTAGTTAAGATTTCCTCAAAGTTCTATATAATAGAGCATCCTTTAGAATGAAGACCCATGACTCAGGATGAATATCCACTTTTGCATGCCCGTTTGATAAAGATGAGCATCTATGCAGACATATGATAGGACAGAAGAACAAACCCAACAGGGTGTGCCAGTTTCGGCTGTTTAGGACTTCTCTTTTTTCCTCCCTGATGTAGCATGTATATTTTCCCAGATGAAGTCCTTATGGACTAGTGCCAAAAGTAGTCAAGAGAATCTCTGTCTGTCCAGCTATTAAAAACAAAGGTGTGGAAGGTAGAGCGGGGTTTCCATGTTTGGGAAGGAAGTAACTAGGATCCTGATCCAGTTTGGAAAAGAGAAATTCTAGTTTTGGGGCTACATTGAAACGAAATGGAAGAAGGAGGTAGAAGAGCAGAGGGAGGTTGAAAGGGCTTCCATAATGCTATTTGGAGTTTCCATGCCTACCTAAGTCGAAGTCGTATTTAATTTTCTGGCTTTAGGAAGGTTCATATTTGATACCATGTTACAGAGTCGTGCGATCACATCCACTCACCTCACTCTCACTCCACATATCCACTCTGAGCTTTCTAATACATTTCGCTCCCAGCTTCATATCTTCCTTTTATTTCTGACAAACTACACAAAAAAGCTTAATGTGTGTTGCCCATGCGCAGGGTGTGTGGTCATACACTGATGCATAAGCAACCCACCAATGGCCACACTTCCCACAAAAACTCTTTCTACCTCAGGATCCATTAGCTGCTAATAGCTTTACAGCTATAAATGGAGCCCCACAAGTTCCTGTTACTTTAATACTGGAATTTTTAACAGGTTTGATCTTAACAAGTTTAAGACACTGGAGCTAGTAATATGGCTCAGCAGTTAAGAGCACTTAAAGCTCATTCAGAGGACCTAGTTCAATTTCTAGCAGCCACATGGTGGCTACTAACCATTTGGTGAATCTAATACAGTCTTCTGGCTACCATGGGCACTAGGTATGAAGGTAAAACATCCATATACATAAATAAAATTTAAAAAGACAAAAAGTTTAAGAGGCTGAATTATTACCTCCTTTATGCTAAAAGTATAAATCAATAAAAATAATTCATTAGATAATGTTGACTGTTGATTTTTTTCCGTGAAGAAAAATCCACTATGAATTTGAAAGAAATTCTTTCTCTTGGAGCAGAATAACCAGTTGCATCTACTATTAAGTCTATGAAATTCAGAGCTCTGGAATCTATATACTGTGGTATGTGTTCTCATGGCCTATTTATTAACAATCACTCTTCATTTGTTAAATGTTTTAATGGGCATTTGGAAAAAAACTCTTACAGGATGGCACCAACCTCTTGCTTACCTACCTCTTTGTTTCAGATGCAAAATGAGCATGACTCCTATAATTGCAAATATGGAAATGATGAACAACAGTGAGCCCTTTAATGAACAGGAAAATCTCCCAGAGATGATATCTAAAGAAAAAACCATAATGTTATTATCACTTGACATTTGATAGAGGTNCTAAAGAAAAAACCATAATGTTATTATCACTTGACATTTGATAGAGGCACACTACATTGTAAAAAATGCATCACAAAGGCAAAAGCTATTGTGTCTGTATGTATGTATTAAAGTATCATTTAAAATTCTTTCTTTTAATTTTTTGAAATTATAATATAATTACATCATTTTCACTTCCCTTTCTAGATGGACCATTTCCAAGGCAATGTGGAAGTCAGTAGAAAATGGAATGTCAGGGTACAAGTGTAAGGATGAGTTTTCAATGCTTTCTCATTGTATTCATAGAAGATGGGAAGATTTAGGATTAGAAGGTAAGAGGACAGGAGTAAAAGGGACAGTGGTTTTTAAGGGGGGCAGATTTGGGATTGAGACTTGGCAGGCCCTGAGTAAACTCGCTCCCCTTTACTTTATCTCACTTCTCATCACTGGCATCATTAAGAGAGCAAGAGATAGAGTTATGTCTTCCTCATTGTCATGTTTTATGGGTTTGAAAGAGGCTGAAAAGAGGATGGGTCTGAAGACTTCTTAACTGTCTAAGAGACCCCAATTTCTATAATGTGAGAACTCACTACCATAGGTAGTTTCCATTCTTCTACTAGAGAGGTATAGTCTCTGTGGTTTGAATGAGAATGACCCTCATATAGGCTCACATACATTGGTCCTCAATTTTTGAAATTTTCAGGAAGAATTAAGAGGTGTGGTCTTGTTGAGAAGGTGTGTCACTGGGGGAAGACTTTGAGGTTGTAAAATATTTCTTCCATTTCTATTTCCATTCTCCCTTTTTCTCTGCCTCTCTCTCTCTCCACCACGTATTGGCAAAGAAAGACGTAACAATCTCAGATAGTGTCACTAAGAAAACTGATGAGAAAACTGATCTCTACAGGGTGATATCCAGCATAGAGAGAGTTGTGAATTTGTAGCTTTCAGATGAGTGTGCCCTCCCTATGTGCCACCAAACAGAGCCTGAAAATGTCAGCTGTTTCAGCCAGATTGAGGGTTCAGAAGGATAGCTAGACACCTAAAAGAAGAAACGCAGATACTTCAGAGAAATGAACAAATATTCATTTCCCAAATCTTTGGGTGATTGATACATTGCATCCCTTGGAGGAGATTTAGAGGATCTGAATGTGCTCTTTCGAGAAAAAATTATGCTAAAAAATAAACATGAGTTTGATAATTACAATTTTACTGACACATGTTCTTCACATTTAGTGATGAATTTCTTTGAGATAATATCTTTATGATATATTATAATCATTGAACATATTATTCTTCACACAAATCTTTTGTCTTCCCCTCAATTTAGGATCCCTTCCCCAGACAATCTTGTTTTTACGTTCACCTCATACACATTAAAAATGTTTCTGGTACTATATAAACCTTACAGCCCACAAATGAGGAAAATCGTGATATTTGTATTTCTGAACCATATCAGTTAAAATTCACTTTATGCCCTACTAGTGATGTTTCTGTTCTTTATAGCAGAAAAAAACTCCAACTTGGATGGATACCAGTATGAATGAGTCATGAAAATTGTTTCCTGGAAGTTCTTTGCTTATCTCACAAGGAACTTCCACTGACGATATCTTTTCCCTAGAATTTGTTTACTGATTTTGTAAGCAATAATGATATGAGAGTCATGAGATTTGTAATTAAGTGAGCTTCTGGATCCTTTTGAGTTTCCTTAGCTTCATAACTGTTATGAGTCTTCATTCACTCTCTAGGAAGAAACATTTCTAGTTAAAGAAAGAACTCTACCTCTTCATCCATCTCTGTCTTCCTTGATTCACACTTGTGACATTTTCTGAACTTTGGAGAAAGTTGTGTAATTGTTTATTATTTTTCATTATGGCTGAAATTTGAGGTACTAAGTTATAGGTAAAATCACTTGGTTCTCACGAACTTGGTATATAGAATGTGATATTTTGCTAAAATTTCTCCTACCATTCCAGTTGTCACATTTGTCTTTAAGTGAATATAGCTGATCCTTTAGTCTTTAATTTCCTCTGCTTATCATATCTTTATTTCATTAGCCATTTAACAACCCAATTTAAATTATCCAAATCTGTCAAAGCTTCTTTTACTGCACAAAAATCATAACCCCCCACGGGGATCAGCAAAATTATTGAAGTTCTGTACCAGGAGATGAGTTAACTTTTACATTGTGTTTTCTGCAAACAAATTCTACCCTACCTGGTATCTTGGGCACTGAAATGTATATCTCCTGCATACTAAATTGCTTTATTAATGCTTACTTTTCTTTTATTGTCTTCCTTGCAACTTATGGGAATATAGAGTTTCCTGTGAGTCAATCACTCCATAGTGATGTGCTTGTATTATTATCTCTGGTTATGCAGGATGGATAGTTACATTACTATTTCTCTAGTACTGTGACACCAAAATTGGTCCCATCTGCTCTTGTATCCCACAGCATCACAACTCAGGTTCTGATAAACTCATTTTATTTTTAAAAAAGGCTTTCCAATTTTAGCCATTCAGATTTTAGCTGATCATAATTTCGTTGTCTTCTTTTCCTAATTATGAAAACCATGATTAATGTGAATATTCTTTCACTGTTATCTCATTCTTTTCCTCCTTATAATTTGATTTTTACAGTGGCTTCTAAACTTTTTATTAAAAGGTAGAGCTATTTAGCAAAGATCTCTTTTTTTCCCTCCTTCCAACTGTGGAAATTGCATATTGACACATTTCATTCCCCCCGCCACCCACATTTTTTGCTGTCAATTCTGAGACGTGTGTGGAGGACAGCAACATCTTTATAACTTTTTGTATAATGATCCCTAACTCATGAGAGAAATTTCGCTTGAGGCAGACAGAAGAGCCTCAATTTCATGTCTTACCACTCACAGCAGAGGCACTTGGCTGCTGATAGAGTTCTCTTATGAACATAGTATGAGCTCCTTTCAGAGACTGCAATACATAGTCTACAAGGCAATTGAGATGCATCTCCACAATCACATGAAACAGACCCCCCTCATCAGTAGGAATTCCACCTGCCACCATGTAAAGAGAGATGTCCATACCAAGAGCATTCTTCCCAAAGGGGATGCTCTACTCTCAGATATCTCAGTCTGTCTTTCATGATTTGTTATTTACCACAGTGAGCATGCAACTGTCACTACAGAAATGAAGTTCAACATTCCATATTACATGACAAAAGGTATTGACATTGAGATTGGCCAGGACAAGATGACTTTTCCTCAGGTTGATCACCCTCAGGTTGATCAACCTTAGGTGTTATTCCAGACTTGCAAGTCTCTTCCCCAACCTCTGTGTAAACAAATATCAAAAGTCTATTCTCTTCAACAGGGCACTTATGACAGAATTAAGTTTCTACATAAAGGATTATGGAAAAAATTAGTTTACTAGGGATTACTTGCAGGATCATGAGTAAGCAGTTATTTTCTTGAGTCCAGATAACTCAAAGATCGATAACTCTAGCACTAAATGTCTTCCTCTAGCAGAGTTGATGACATACACTAGTTACATCTTTAGAGCTCCATAGTCAACTGGGATGTCAATCAATATAAGTAAATGGTGTTTCAGCTTGCTTACCATAAAGGCAGCACCAACTTTTGTAAACAGTATTTTAAAAAATTCCACTAGCAAAAGCAAATAATGTTGGACCAAAACGTGGATAAAGTTATATATATCATGTAACCAAAAGTTTTAGAACTACAGGCTCTGGCGGCAATGAATAAATAGCTTTAGCTACTTCCTCTACTTCCACATTGCTTCAATGCTACTGAAACCTACTTACCATGTATGAAATCTTGCTGAACACAGGAAGTCACAAGGAATATTATCATCACAAATGTTATTATAGCGAGAATTCCCACCCAAACACATTGCCATGAAAACAGTTCACCTGAAACATGAGTTCAGAAGAAAACTTAGCAATGGTGATTTATCTGACGTTTGTTACAATTTAAAATTCTACTACCCTGGAATATTATGAAAGTGTGGAGCTGCAGTTATGATGGTTTTGGTTTTGGTAAAAAGCATATCACGAGTAAAAATTAGCCAGATGTGAGTGAATTTTAGGAAAAAGTATATAGAGGGCAGTTTTTTCATTTCTTCCCATCAATCCTGCCTCATAAGCTTCCCCAGTAGAAAGCAAAAGGGGGAGCAGAATCAACCCCAGTGTTCAGATATTGGCTTCCAAGGAGAATTATAATGGTAGTACAAATCAATGCTGAAATCCTCATGTCTTGTTTACTTTGATATGTGCCATGCTCTATTCAGTGTACTCATTGGATTTGAGACTATTGTTTCTGAATATATCTCATGCCCTAAGTCAATGCAAATGTACCTTTTCTTATTCATATGAAATATTGCATCTTTCTTCCCAGATAAAATTTTACACCATCTAAAACATGCCATTATGTCTAGCATGAGGGTATTTAGAGACCATCAAGCATTCTCCTTAAGCATTTTGAGTGTTATATTTGTGGAATATTGTGGGATAATACTCGCACACTGTAAAGATTTTTCACTTGTATTGGCTTACTAAAATTCTGATTGGCCAATAGCCAGACAAGAAGTATAGGTGGGATGACAAGACTAGGAGAATTTTGGAAAAAAATAAGGCAGAGATGCAGTCACAAGTCAGATATAGAGGAAACAAATTGAGAATGCCTTTCTGAGAAAATATGCCAAGCCACATGGCTCAAAATAGGTAAGAATTATGGGTTAATTTAAGTTGCAAGAGCTAGTTAATAATAAACCTGAGCTTATGATATACCAAACAGTTTATAATTAATAGAAGCCTCTGTCTGTTTATTTTGGAATGAAAGGCTGTGGGACTAGGTGGGACAGAAACTTCCATTTACAGGGGAATAAACGTGTATTGAGTTGTTACTTTTGTGAATTTAATTCCCAGAATTAGTTCCTATCCTAATAAACTATCATGCCTTTTACACCAGTAGGGTCCAAATTGAACTTAGCCGGCTTGCCAGTCACTCAGTAACGAATTCCTGCATGATTAAATTTGATTATGATCTTTCCTTTTTCATCAAACTTGATTTTTTAAAATAATTTGTAAATGGAACAATGGTTAAACTTTTTCCATTTCCTAATAGTATAACACAGAGTCCAAAGTTTATGTTCATTTCAATTACTTTAAAACATACTGTTCAGAGATCATAAATACTTAAAGAACATATAAGATCATAAAATATACATTTTGTTACTCAATGAAGGTGTAATATATTAACAAATATTTCAATTTACCTTACATTATTTATATATATTTATGCTTGATATATAGTATATATATATCCTATAGGAAATCCTATATCCAGTAGCTTTTAAGTTACCCTCAAACTTGGGCTTGACATCTTATACTATTTATGCTGATGTAAAGCATGCATCTGGCCTTTTTTTCTGGCTATGGTGTTTGGTTGCAGTTCTCCATTCCAACAGAGAACATTGATTTGCAAGTCTACCCCTAAATAAATAACCTTCTATTATTCTCAATTCTGAGCTAATGTGAGATTTCTTTTAAGTGTCCATCTTCATACACATATGATTTATGAAATCAGCGGCTTTAGTTCTTTTAAAGACCTCTTCTAGAAAGAATGTCTAATTTCATGGATAGATACCAGCACTGATACATGCTTGCAATACATCTTTTTGATTTTATTTAATTCCTTTAAGTATCGCATTTTATTTGTTTAATTGCAAGGTGGCACCCAATATCTGAAACAGTTGGGTGCGTTGGTGTATAAAATCACCAAGGGATTTTTCTGGAAAGTATACAGATATAGAGAAATAATATGATAATATAGCTACACAATACATAAAATGGGACTAATAAGAAAAGAAACAAGTCAAATTTATGAGAAAACATGACCCCCAGGTGCATAGAGGCAGGCAGGTCATATGCTTGAGGATGGCCATCAAGGTCATACTTATAAGTAAGTGAGATTTGAATATGGACTTGAAGGAGATATTTGAGTTTGTATTATCCTGGAAGAAGAAACAACTGGAGGAAATGTCTAAAGGCAGAGTTCATCAACAAAGATGTGAATAAATGAGGTAGAGAAGAACATTAGGAAGTGACGTCATCAAGGTAACAGGGGCATTGATAACTGAAAAAATCAGGGAATGTTGATAACTAAAAAGGAAGCAATTTTAGGGTACTTAACACAATCAGTATTTTAAGTAATTCATCCCATCCCTAAAGTCAGGAAATACCACCATAAACTAGATAAGAAACCGAAGAGCTTCAGGGTACTCTTTCTACATTGTAATCCATAATTCAGGCTTAGATGGCAGTGAAAAGGTGGTGCGAAATGATGAAGAAGGAGGATCCCCCCATTTGCCTGATTATTTTGTCTCTGTGACTCACTCTTTTCTGACTTGCTTACTACTCAGTTCATCTTAAGATTCAGGGTTGCAGACAACAATGAGGACCCTAAGAGAGACATACATGGATCTAATCTACATGGGAAGTAGAAAAAGGCAAGATCTCCTGAGTAAATTGGGAGCCTGGGGACGATGGGATAGGGTTGAAGAGGAGGGGAGAGTGGTGTAAGGGAATGGTCTATATTCTGTCAATTATATTTTAAATAAATGCTGATTGGCCAATAGCCAGGAAGGAAGTATAGTGGGACAACCAGAGAGGAAGCAGAGGCCCGTCAATGAGAACAGAAGAATTCTGGGAAGGAGGAAGCCCATTCTTTTGCAGTCCTGACTAGCCACAGAAGGAGCAAGATGAGACTGCCCCACTAAAAAAGGTACTGAGCCATGTGGCTAACATATACTACAATAATGGGCTAATATAAATTACAAGAGTTAATAAGAAGCCTGAGCTTATGGACCAATCAGTTTACAACTATTGTAGAATTTTGTGTGATTTCTTTGTGTCTTAATGACTGTGGGAACTGGACAGGACAGAAACCCCAACAAGAGAGCAATGGAGGGAAGCAGAAAAAAATGTATAGCTCAATGAAATCAATAAAAAAAAAGACAAAGAATTGCAGGTCTACAAAAATGGACAGTGGCCACTTCAACTTTAAAGATATGAATATTCTTGGTGTGAAGAATATTCAAGGGTGTATTCAAAACCTTTCAACTTGAGCTTTTTGCATTCCTATTTGTATAATCTCAGGCTTATATTGTCAAAGAGAGAACATCCTTAGACACATGTGTGACAAGAGTGAAATTAAATTTTCCTTTATTCTTTTAGGATATGTGACAAAATTCGGATCCTTGGGATCTCACCAGTCTGGGAACTTGAGTCAAATGTCTATTTTGGGACTCTAGTAACAATGAGACTCTGGTGTATTTTACAAATAGACCTAACATTATTTCTTGGGTTGGCTTATGAATTTTCAGATGAGAGCAGAGGAAAGGTGAGTTATAACGTAGGAAGAGTGAGAGTTCTGGTGGTACTTAAAGTCATGAGACAAAAGGAAGTCAGAAGTGAGTAAGGGCTCAAGAACCAAGCCTTGCAACCTTCAATGTCAATACGGCAGTTAGTATTGTTGACTTGACACAAATTAGAGTCGTCTGAGAAAAAGAAACCCCAATTGAGGATCTGCCCTATCTGATCAGCCTATGACTATGCGTGAGAGGCAATTTCTTGATTGATGACTGAAGTGATAGGATCCAGGCCCCTGGGGGTGGGTAGTGCTATCTTTGTTGTTGTGTAAAACAGAAAACTGAAGATGCCATGGAGAACAAGTTTATGAACAGTGTCCTCTGTGGTCTGTACTTTAGTTCCTGCCTCCAAATTCCCACTTTGGACTCCTGCTCTGGCTTCCTGTGATGCAGCACTAATATGTAGAAATGTAATTCAAATAGACCCTTCCCCCACTGCAACTTGTTCATGATCAGATGTTTTATCTCAGCGTCAGAAGAGCAAACTGCAGTAGTCTAGAATATAAATAGAGAAAATATGCACATCAAAGAGAGTGAGAGAGACAATAAACTAGATGACGAGTAAGGCCAAGAGAATGCAAGACATTGGGAGCCAAGTCAAGAAAGAAGCGATACATTAGTATATGTAACAATGCCTTTTACTGAAGAACAAATACAGATTTTACCTGATAGGACAATATTTATGCTTTCTTCTTGTTGAGTTAGACGGTTTTGAAGGTAGCAAGTGACATTCCAGTGAGAGTTGGTGTTAATAAGAAGTGCCATTGTCATATTGAATAATTTGTTTCCATCCCGTGAATGGGATTTTGATGTCTCTGGAATGACCTCTCCTTTGCTGTCTCTCCATTCCATAAGTGGCAGTGGGAACCAACCCCCCGAATGACACTCCAAAATCACTCCTTTGGTATTTGGGGGATGCAGAAGAATTTGTATGTCTGAGCTTGTTACTGGTTAAACAGCAAGAGAGGAAAACAATATTGTTAGGTATCAATGGTAGAGGAAAGGAAAGAAAAATAAAAGCTCTTTTTGGTTTTGATTCCAGTTTCAAAAGATATGTATATATTCATGCTCTCCAGGATGCTGGTTTCCATAAAATCTCATGAAAATGGAAGAGTCAGATAGAAATGCTATAATATGCAATCAATAACGTGTTCAAACTAAGTCAGCTCAGGAAAGGCCTGTTTCATTTGTTTATTAATTTATTCAAAACATATTTTAGGCTATTCACTAAGTCTAAGAAACAACCTACATCCTTGAATTATGATGAACAGAAATCAAGATTTTTGATCCTTATAGCATTTATAGTTTAATTTTTTTCATTTATCATAGTCACTAGTTATTTTGAGTCAACATAATAGATTATAGAAATGAATTTCATTATAAATACAGTTTTGGAATTCTAGATAATTCTCTATGTATTTTCATAGTAGATAATTTATAATTTGTGAACATTTGCAGGTAAAGCTATTTGGAGCAAAAACTGCATGACACAGTGTAGCTCCCATTGCCACTGAAACAAACGAAGAGGTGATGGAGAAGTGGGAAAGATTGTGTAATGTTTATTCCAAAAGAGAATGCGTGGAGATTTAAAGCAACATACCAAAATTGCTCTGTCTAGTAAAAAGTCCATGAAATAACAAGAACATTACAGATCTTTGCTATCACAGTTGTTATTTATCCCATAAAACTACTAAAAATGACAATCAGTAACTTTTTGTCCCAGTAGAACACAAAACATGGAAATGAACTACATGTATGACTCCTCTAGACCGCAGAGGTGTCTCATGACATCCATGAAGATTGATCACCTGGATCCTACACATATGATCATACACTTATGGATTTTTTAGTTTACATTAACCCCTGGCCTTTCCTTTCTTTTCCTTTTCATCCAGATTAATTCAAAGTAATGAAAGTAGCATAAATACTATATAGTTAGACACACACACACATATTATTGCATCTGAGGATAGGGATTATTGTAATTAAAATCTTTCTCAAAAGACTTAGAAAAATCAATCGGGTGCTAAGTAGTTAGCGAATCAATCTGGAGAGAAATGAAAATAAGCATTATTAGTAAAAAGAATTTTTTCTCTTTCATTGAACATTTTCATGCAATAGTTTTGATCAAGGTTTTCTCTGCAACTCCTCCCATACTCACCTAACTTTATAGTAAGAAGCATAATTTAAAAATTCACTTCATTTGAAAAATTACTGAAGTGTTGTTAGAGATATATGAAAGGATAATAAAAGAACCTAAAAAGAATCTGATTATATGTTAGAAATCTAACAATGTATGTAGGCATAATAAGAAAGTACTTACTGATAGAATCAATCTCTGAACGCTAGTAATTTTTATTTTTTGATCTTCCATGTCATACAATTAAAAAACTAATTGTAGAGAATTCATTTTACCAAACTATGCAATAAGATTCAAGCACTGATAATTTCCCAACCACTCAACCATAGGTAGGCTTTGAATCATATGTACAGAACAGTCTCAGAGAAATTCATGCCCACCTGTAACGTTGACCTCCGTAATGTGCTCTTCATAGAATTCACCATTTTTGAAGACACAGCGGTATGGTCCGTCATCATCAACAGTCACGTTAAAGATCCTGAGTGTCACTTTTCCTTCTCCAATGCCACCTTTCAGCAGTTCAGTCCGCTCTACATACTTGGAGATAGTTTCTCTATGAAGGTCTTTACCATCCCTGTACAGGTGCACAGGCTGTGTATAGCGGTTCCTGAACCAGCGAATCTCCATGTGCTGTGCATCTTGTGGTGGGGACAACTGACAACTGAGTTCAAGGGTTCCACCCAATGGAGCCAAGACTGGCCTAGTCAAACCAGTCACTGTGAATCTCTCTGTGAAGGTGAATAATCAAAAGATAGGAGTATGAGTTAGTAAAAATATTTATAACATTTGTTGGAATCATTGACTCTCTTAATCCCTCTTCTCTCTTCTTCTACTCTTTCTCAAACATCCATACATATTTCAAGTAAAGTCAATTTGTTTATCCTGAAGGCATTTTTAATTACTAATTACTTTATTGATACTAAAGCAGAAAGTATTGTATAAATGGTTAGAGGAGATTTCAAGGAATTACTGGAGATGCTGAACCACTCCAAGACAGGCTGAATTCGAGATAAATCAAGACAAAGTGGAAGACTGGGTCAGAAAATGACAATATGAGTAGGCCATGTCACATAGTGGAAATTTTGCTGAATTGAAGCTCCAGGGACAGTAGGCAATCTACAGCTGCTGTGTTTTGTGATACATGCATAAGGTTTGTTGATGAGAATGTGGCTGGTACTGTTTCCACTTTGTGTCAAATCTACCTGCTATATGACACAGATGAAGGAGCTGCCATCTTCCTTAGTCTGCTTTGTTCATTAACAGGACTGCATTTTATGATATAGTCTTGATATGACCATGTGCCCTGGTGTTCTCCATAAACCCTGGTAACTTAATATGTGTATTTTCTTTACTTGCTTAATTAAACTATTTCTAATTTTGCTCCTCATGATTCGTACTGGGTAGGAAATGAGGTAATGATTGTTTACTTGCACAAATGTGTACAGTAATTTTGACTCATCATGTGAACTCAGAATGTAACAAACTGCTACACTGTAAAATGGAGTCACTCATGGCAATACTCAGCTTGAAAGCTACTGTTCCACATGATGCAGAGTAAAATAGAGCAAAAATAGCCTTTCTAGCAAATAAAAATGAAAAGTATCTAGACATTGTGCTGTTAGAATATTGTAAAACAAGATAAGAAAGGCCATCAACAATTATTAAAATAGTTGAAATCTAAAACATTGACAACATAAAATGATCACAAAAGATTAAGACATATGACTGTTATTTTTTGTTGATAGCAATGCAGAATGATCCAGACACTCTGAAAGATAGTTTGGCATCTCTAACAGTGCTTAATGTAGGCTTAGCATACTTTTTTTTGCCATAGTCATGATTCTGCATATAGTCCAAATGAGTTATAAAGTACAAATATAATGAAATTTCTACAAAATGTTAATATCATCTTTATTCCCAGTTACTAAAAATGGAAGCAATAAGAAAACATACTATCTGTATAACTACAGAGGTTAGGTATAAAGGAAGGGGTTAGAAAGGATGGATTTCCTTCATAAGGGAGAATAAAATATGTATCTGCAGATGCGCAGACATGCAATAGGAGGATCAAATGAACCAGGGAGTGAAGAGGAAGGAAAAGGGTGTAATACAGGGAGGACCAGCCAAAACAGGCCCATTTCAGGGGACATATGGAAACTCAGTACAGTAGGAGATTACTGAAGGTGCTTTATGCATATTAGAAAGTAATCCAAATGAAATCGCCCAATAATGAGGGAGACAAAGCCATAACTGGATATCTTTTGTCATCAAACAATGCTTCTGGTACCAAGAATGAGTCTAATTCAGGTGGAACCCAAATAAATGTGCATCAGTAAATTTATCGCTGGACAATCAGCTTTGCTGCAGTATTTTGCATCTTTTATATTATTCATTGTCTAAGTATCTTCTTTTTTGATGACTTCAAGTAATCTATATTTATTTGTGCTTTGCACAGATGTCCCTCCAATGTCAAATTCTCATTTCCTTAGTCTGCTTTATCTTCCCTCATCTTTTCCTTCTACTCTATTCTTAGATTGGGTGGATTTTCATTTGTATCTCTTTTATAAATATGTCTTGTGCTTTCAGTATGAATATTGAGTCCACAAGATAAGTACTGTATCTCTATCATTGTACTGTATTCCTGGAAGCTGAAACAAACCCAAGGAAGAATATTTGCTGATTAGACATAACTACTTGTTCCTCTAAGCTGGATACTCTTGGACTGTCTTCACTTCATTGCTACATTCTATATTTAGGGATAATTATTTAAATGCCCTGTTCTTTGTACCATGCCTTGATTTTTTTTTTGGCGTGCTTGACATTGTCAATGCTCATAAGCGCAAGTGAGAGAGTCATACCTGAACTCAGCGCCACTGTCTGTAGGAGGTACAAGACAACACAGTGTGCAACAGCAAGTACTCTTGTAGCTCCCATTACACCTGTGACAAAACATATTAGATGAAAGGATAACTTTCCATTCAATTTCCAATTTCTCTATAATTCTACTATCTTGCTTGATGTGTGTGTGATAAACATAAATATCTATCACATTTGGCTGCTAGATCAAGGCCAAAATACTAAGTATCTTATTTTAAGAATATATATATATACACTTTGTATTCACTGCCTTGCACTCTCATGGGCCCTCCGAGTCCCACTAACTTTTCTCTTTCCGACTATTTTCCCTTATAATATCACATCTTTTAATTTTTTTATTATAATTTGAGTTGAATTAGGATATGTTCCAGGACCATGGTAAAGGTTTGTTTACAGGAACATGGCTCACCAGTGGCTACACCACTGAAAAAGTGTACCGTCCTTTTCCCAGCAATTATTAGCTTCCTATGAAGCCTCAGAGTGGGATGAGTCTTGTGAGTTTCTCCCTGTTTCTTCCTTTCCACAGTGTCAAATGGTGGCCCTAGTCCTGTGCAGCTAATCACAGTTGCCCCGCTAGAAGTGTTTCACCTAGCTAATCATATTTTCATGCATTTTTAAAAGATCATGTGTCTCTCACTTCCCCATCTCCTTCCCCTTTCCAGAGTTTAATAACAATGATTCTGTTCTCTGCTTTGAGATCAACTTAATAAAAATATTTTATATTAGAAATAGAATTATAGTACTATCCCTGCCTCTCCCTCCAGCTTCTCTCACATCATCGCTCTCTACCAACAGCCTCTATTTCTACTGTTACACATGCATACACACATATGTACACATGAATATACATATGTGAATGTATACATACGTATGCACACATATATGTGTGTTATATATGTGTATACACACACAACGCATATTGAGTCATTTTTTTAAGGTTTGAGTGTGTGATTTCAAGACTGACTGTCACTCTACTTTGGAAAACCAATAACGGGTCTCATTCCTGGGGAAGTCTAACTCTCCATCTCCTAAGTGTCATCAGTTGCCTGTAGTTCCTTATATAGGTGTGGAACCTTTAGAAAATTCCCCCCTTTATGTTAACATGCCCACTAATTCCACTGCTTCAGTCTTATTTATGTAGCTATTTCTAGGAAATTAACCTTTAAAATTTCCACGTATGACTGAGAATATGAAGTAATTTTTGTGCTAGTCTATTTTAAAAATTGAGTTTTTAAACACAATGTAAAATTTAATAGGGACATCTCATATTCTATGCTTTTCTGACTTTGTTTATTATAAATCAAATAGTTATTCTGGTTGAGAAGAATATGGGATGGGCACAAGTCTCACTTTATGTTGCTGAGAAATCATAGTCTTAGGAATATACTTTCTTCAGCGCCGACAAATGACATTTCAGAACCTGATCTCAGGAGCCACTAAGATTGAATGTTATAGAATTATATTTAGCTGATCCATAAAGAAAACTTGGGAGTTTTCTTCCCTAGAACGCACTAACTCCTCATCCTCTTTTTCAGTAGGGTATTTTATTTATTTTTTATTGATTTTTATTGAGCTCTACGTTTTTCTCTGCTCCCCTCCCTGCCTCTCTTCTCCCCTACAACCCTCTCCGAAAGTCCCCATGCTCCCAATTTACTCAGCAGATCTTGTCTTTTTCTATTTCCTGTGCAGATTAGATCTATGTAAGTCTCTCTTAGGTTCCTCATTGTTGTCATCCTTCTTAACAACAAAGATTTACTAATCCTTAAATATACTCCTTACTAAGTCTTTGGAACTTGTTTATAGTGGGAGAATATTCCTCCCAGGAGGCACAAGGAAAAAGAAAAGGAAGAAAAATTATCTGTAAGGATAGAACAAAAGCCCAGTTTATTATTAAATCCCCTTACTTACCTGAGCCTCACGATCCCAAATCAGCTTTCGTGTTGTCCCGATGAATGCATGAGTTGAGTCACCTGAGATTTTGGTAATGCTCCAGCAGTTTTACTAAAGTCAGCAAGCATGCCAGAGTTAGACGGAGATCAGGTAAACTAACACCCAACTTTTCCTCTCCTACACTGAAAGTCCAGCCCCATGATTCCACAAGCCTGATAATTAGATCTCTTTCCCAGTGAACTTCCTAAGAGGCTGGTACATCAGGCCACGAATGAAATCTGTTTCGCTCAGTGACTGTGATTGCTATTACTCAAGTCCTAGCAAGACTCGCCTCGCCTAGGGAAGAAACAAAACAAAACCTGATCCGCCCCTGTCATGTACTGAGTGCTGAATGAAAAACTATGATGAATGTATTTTTAATGGTGAACCTATACACAGCATAGTAAGGCAGGAAAGTGCAGAAGCACAAGCAAGTTACTTTAAGTCCAGATGAAGCATTCCATGAAAGAATGGGAACTTCCCATAGTTTCAAGGAATAACCTTGAAGCAAAATGATCAGTTGGTCCAGTTAAGCAAAGGAGCACAGTAGTTTTCCAGGCTGACAGAGCAACTCTATTTGAAGACACGAAACAGAGTAGTCAGTTCAAAACACTCCTGTAATTGGCAGTAGCTACTGGGAGAAATGATTCTGAGGAATGATGAGAGGTAAGCTTCAGGGAGAAATAAAGGAAGTTATGAAACTTTAGGAAACATATGATATATATTTAAGTGTATGTGTATCTATGTAGAGTCAATTCTTTTAATACACAGATGCATGTATTAATGTTTAATACAGATGTCATACATATATAAGTATAGACCAGCTATAAATATAAATGCACTCAGAAACTTATATGCATGCATATATTTATAAAATATTGCAGATCTTTTTCATGTATGCACACATGAATAAAAAGTATATTTCATCAGATATGTAGTTATATCTCTACAAATAAGTCATTATGCTCAGCAAATTTATCAAGCATGTGTAAGGGATTATAAATGTACACATGTAAATGATTTTAAATATATTTTATTAGTTCTGTGAGATTTTTGTACAAAGTAGTTTGATCATATTCACCCCCAATTCTTCCCAGATCCATTGCCCTTTCCTACTCAATCAACTTGGTGTCCTGTATCTAAAACCAAACAATTTTTTTTTTGCTGTAGAAAAACACCATGACCAAAAGTAATATGGAGTTAAAGAGTTTTATTCTTGTTATAGTTCAGGTCACATTCTATCAATGATTGAAACATAACCAGGAACTCACTTAATGTCGGAACCTGGAGTTAGGAACTAAAGCAGAAGACTCGGGGGAAAACTGCTTCCTGGCTTGCTCCTTATGACTTGGTCAGCTTGATTTCTTACCACATGCCCAGGGTTAACACAACACAGAGTGTTCTGGATTTTCTCATATCAATAATTAATCAAGACAGTGTCATAAGTCTTTTCTACTGACCAATCTTATGAATGCATTTTTTTCCAGTTAGAATTTTAGGATTTCTTCTTCACTGATATGTCTTGATTTGTGACATGTTTCTAAAATCTAACCAATACACCAGTTAGGATCAATTCGTACTAGTCAAATATTTTTGAATGTACTGTCTTCATTGCTAGTACACTGGCTTCTCAGGACTACCCTGTTAGAGAAACTCCCTCTCTCTCTGTCATCAGTTATCAGTTGTCAATGACTCCTTAACTATGAGGGGCAATTTCATACCAAGCATCTTTTTGCATGCTGGATTTCTGTCTGGCTTGAGTTTGAATATATTTGCACATGCTTTTGTGACCACAGAGATTTTATATATGCAAATATCTTGCCATGTCCAGAAATCAGTTTCCTTGTGTTAACGTAATGTCTGTGGCACCTGTACTCCTACGTTTCTTCAACAATGATCTGTAATCTTTGAGATCAGTGGGAGTAATATAGATGTCTCATTTAAGGCTGAGCATTTCTCATTCTCTTATTCTCTACACCTTGGTCAGTTGGGTTCTATGTGTTAATCATCTATGTACTGCAAATAGAAGCTTCTCTCCTGAGAGTTTATATAAACATTAATTTATGGCTGTAGACATAGGTCATCAAGAGTTAGTTTAGCACTGTGGCATTTATCGGGATAATAGCAGTAGGTTCCCTTCTAGGAAATGTGGCCTATAAAGACAATGGTCCATATATATTACCAAAAAGAGTTACACAGAGAGAGAATAAATAACCCAAATAGATCTATAACATCCAAAGGGATAGAAGTAGTAATTAAACATTTAAAAAGTTAACTATAAATCCCAGGTGGTAAAATATTACATGTAGGTCTGAGCACTTCATCAGTTTTTTTTATTAGTTTTGCATTGCATGATTTGGGGGATCTGTATTTATCATCATCTACTGCAAATAGGAGCTCCTCTAATAAGTATTGAGATTTACATGGATTTTTATTCCATTAAAATAAAAACCATAAAGGATATACTTGAATTTCTAAATGCAATAATATACAAAAGATGAATAATAAAGGTGATGTGAATAATTTAAACAGATACATAAAAACTATGAGGCAGATGCGCTGGCATAAAATCTCTCTCTTGGAAAAACAGAAAAGAAATCATTTATTTTCTAGATGCATGTGATCTCTTAATATTAAATCAAAGGGAAGTAAATAATTTAAAATGATTCATAACCACCAACAAGATACAAACAGTAACCCAAGATCAGGGCAAGAAGGACTTAGCATAGAATTCTAACAGACTTTCATTGAAATAACACCAAATATATCTCCAATGTAAAATATGAAAAAAACATCAAGATCCTTTTTATGAAGCAAGTATCATTTTAATGCCTAAATGAGATGAACATACCACCAAAAATGAGAATTATAGATCAATCTCCATCATGAACATAAATGAAAAATTCTCAGTGAAATATTTGTAATCTAAAGTCAAGAACACATAAAAAGACTATCCATCATAAACAGGTCTGCTTTCTTCCAGAAATGCAGGAGGGTCCAATATCTATAAATCAATAACTATAACCCAAGATATATACAGAGTAAATGGATAGAAACCAAATGTTCATCTCATTAGATGCAGAAAAGACCTTGAACATAATGAAACATCCCTTCATGATAAAAGTCCT